TTGATTTTATTATCCGTGTCGAACTTAAAACTTCTAACATTTGATTTATATTGTTTGTTTAGATTCTGAAGGTCACTCTTTTCATGTCAACATTAATATTTGATATTATAGTCGAATCTATCGCTTCAAGGGTCCATCACCCCAAATGGAGTAACACAGACTGAGGCTGATACAGAGTAAAGTACTGAGAAGAATTTTTAACCCAAATTACAGAAGGAAGGAGTGGTTTATAAATTGATGAGTCATAAAATTTATTCCCTTGATCTTGTTGGAACGACCAAATATAGGGAATTAAAAAGTAAGATTTTACGGAATTTCCCAATGGCATAACGCCCACATCAAATTTTATCCAAATCCGTCCAGCGGTTCTCGAGTTGAATCATGCGGACAGACAGACAGACTTTACCAGCCCTATATGCTTTAATTTTATACACATAGTGCAAAGAACGCGTAAAAGACACATTATTAATGATGTCTTTTTTGGCAGTGCATGCCGCTTTGAGAAATTGTTCGTTCGACTTAGTGAAGAATGTCAGATTAATTTCTAGGACGCGTCTGATAAAAACTTGGAATGATATGCAAATAATAGCAACACAAATTAAAGCTCATGTAGAGATACTGACCAAGCTAAGGCACAGAAATAAACTGGCAAATAATGACTGATTTTATTGAAGAAAATTATTGAGCAATACGCCTTTGTGATTCTCCTTAAAATATTACCCAAAGTTGATACAATTTTTAATAAATTGCCTTTATTTGTAACACTGCGGCCCGTAAGTCGATAATCAAAGGTAAATGCAGTCTCAGTTTTTGAAGAGGTTGAGAACTCCTGTTTTAGGGCAGGTAAGGATAAGGAAAAAAATCTCAGTGATAAACATTTCCCGAATAAAATATCTTCTTAATGTATTTAAGAATGTAATACTTCCTGACTATGACAATTAAAACGGATCTGGTTAAAGACTGGAGTATGGGAACAACTTTTAGGGTGACCAAATAATTAAGAATGAGATCTGTGGGAAACAAAAAGATTATACAAAATTTTGATTCGAAACCTTAACAGAAAGTGATTGCAGGAGATTGAGGTATAGATAAAAAGTTGATTGTTAAAATCTGTCTTTCAGAAATTACATGCGAAGGGGCGCGCTAGATACAGCTCTCTTGCATAGGGTGCATTTGCGGTATTTTGTTGATACGGTGACGAACGTTTCGCCCGTTTCAAGTAAGGTCGTGACTTTGAAGACCCCCTGCCTAAAATGTACTACTCAGGATGACCGTGTGACGTGGAGTTGGTTGGCCATTGTGGCTTGGATCATCTTAACCTCCATGTCTGACACTAAAACCCAGAGTTGAACTAGCGTCGTTAAGTAACCCTGTTTTCATATTTTTTATTCATATACAAAAATAGTAACGCTGTACAGTTGACATTTTGCATAATTTTTTTCATCACTTAAATTTAATTAGGTTACATGGCATGTATATTATTGTTATCTGTTAATCTGATTTCTGGACAGGAAATATGAATGACTACGCGTTGTGTTAGTTGCCGAATTCCGGGAACTGTAATCCATATACGAACTTCTGTTTTCAGTAACAACAACTTAAGTGACTTAGTACTTAAGTCACTTAGTAATGAACCCATAAGTGACGTTAAATTTGGGTGTGATTTTTACTGTTCCCTTCAAAATCTGTTATCGTCCCGTCTCCAGTCGACAGATATGAAGATTAAAATTTATTATTTTATACGACCCGTTCTTCAATGCCTGAGCACTGCGGGTCCCAACTTTTCGTTGGTTTGATCTATAGACATTTTGGTAGGACTCCTTGGACGAGGGATCGGCCCGTCGCAAGGCCTCTACCTGTGCACAGGACAGCACAACACAGAAAAACGCGGACAAACATCCATGGCTTGAGTGGGATTCGAACCCACAGTCCCAGCGACCACGCGGCCACTGAGACGCACAGATTAAAATTAGCATATGAAAACTATAATTTTACTTGTTGTATAAGCGTTTTCTATGACCAGTCTATGGGCTATTTATTCTAATACTGTCAATCTGTATGATGAAAAATACTTACGTCATATCAAAATACAATTTCTTAATGATGTATTTATTTGGAAGTGCCTGTCGTGAGCAATTGTTCAATTTAAGTCAGATCAAAAACTAGGAAAAATTTCAACGACATACGTTAAACCTCATATTGAAAGTTTGGTCAAGGTAAGGTAGTAGTGAATTAAAATAACCAAGTAATGAGTAATTTTGTTGAAGATAACTATTGAGTAATATGTGAACCTGTGTGCCGAAATCAATTAGTATTTTATTTATTTAGTGTTCTGTCTGACGACAGGTCCATATGAACAGGATCCTTCCATCCTTTTCTCGGACTGGGACCTGTTCATATACGTTCTTGGCAGATGATCCAGAAGTGGTTTGCCATTGCCTTCTTCTGTGTGTGAATGGAGTAATTGTTGGGATGCCACGGAGGAAAACTCCGTGTTGCCTAGATCACGTTTAATAAATTGCTATGAAATTTAAATAAAATTGTTCTCATTTGTAACATTGCTGCCCGCGAATCGATAAGCAATGGTAAATGCAGTCCCGGTTTTGTAAAAGGTTTGAAATCCCCGCTCTAAGAGAAAACAAACAGAGTTTGTCTGGGATTAACCCACATCTCCTTTGGATATAACAGGAAACCAAATATTGATATATGCTTATGAATCCTGCATGTAGAAATATCACAAAATACTTACATAATCTGTTGCTGTTGGCAAAGAAAAAGAAGAGAGGAATATTCTCACATATTAATGATTGACATTTATATCAGCGGTAGGTAAGAGAATGGCTGGAAAGGCGAGGTGATGGCAGGGTGGAGTCTTGGTAGTTTATACGTTATAAAACTTCGCCTGCTCTGTGGGAACTCTGAACGAACGACTCACCCACAGAGCTCTTCGCTGTATTTCTTCACGTAATCTTATCACTCCTGCTTTAGTCTCCTGTTTTCCTCTTTTCGAACATTAGAAAATTCCCACGATACATACATATCTTATGTTCCTGTGTATAGTTGCTCAATAATTTAGTTCCAACAGTAGTCTGATAATGATAAGATTTGGGCTTGTGAAATAGGGAATTTGAGGGTTAAATCATTTTTCAGAAGTAACACAGCAACGAAGAAAATTATATGAATTGGAGATAAATAATAAAAGGTGACATTTCGGATTCCATGGATGCGATTATGAAGTTGACTGCCTGCTGCCTCCATCTTCAGGGCGATGTGTCTGACCTGACGATGGAGACAGCAAGCACTTCTGAAACGTCGGTAAATTTCTACCGCAACATTCTATAAGACACCCACCTAAATAATGAGGGTACATTTCGGAAAATGTTATGGTGATCAAGTCATTGCGAATTGGATCGGTTGTACATGTAGAAAGCATAAGGGTTGACAATTGTGAAAAGAATTCGGTTGGAAAACCTGAGAATAAGAAACACCTAATAGGATGTTTAAGAAAACAGAGTAAACAGAATTAATCTGTTTCTGGGCTGATGTGGACATAGTAAAATACAGGGAATTGCGTGATCATATGAGAAATTATCAAACGGCCATTGGAAACAAGTTATTTGGCCAATATAATAATACTTTATGAATACTAATGTAAATGCAGCACGCATAGTTTAATGCAAGATACATAATTATTTTAGGAATAACTTAAGGTGCAATTTAAGGACACCAAGACACAGATAGGAGAAAAGAAACTGGATCTTTGGAAAGTAGGGTTCAAAGGTGTGGACTAATTTTACATGGCTTAAGATATGACATATTTGTGGGATTCTGTTAACACTGTAATGAACGAAGATGACTGGCTTCTGAGTTGATTATGGAGACAGTAAGCAATTCTGAAACGTCGGTAAGCTTCTACCAGACTACACAGCGCAACAAGACAGAAGACATTTTAATAGTCGTTGCAGTAAGAACCTGAAATCCATTTGTAATGGACCTTCGGGTTCTAATAAGGCGGAAGGTGGTAGTAGCAGTAGTAGCAGTAGTAGTAGTAGTAGTAGTAGTAGTAGTAGTAGCAGCAGCTGCAGCTGAAGGCAGCCAATACGTTTCTAGGTCTATGACCGATCCTGGCGCAATTCGTAATCTGTCAACGCGAGGTAAAATAATCAGTTTATTTCACATTAGTAAACATTGGGGCGAATTTTATGTCAATAGAAAATATATTTGCCAAGTTTTTTCTGAGAAGATTTTCTTGGGAGAACACATGTGCTAAAAGACTGGACAGAGATAAGGATTTGCTCTGCAATGATTACATTTCCCATGCAATTTCCGCCCAAGTTCACGCACTGCAGTGATGTGAGTAAATTTAGATAATGTTCCTTTCTCGCTTTCTAAATCGCATTAATCATATTTTTGTATTTGCCTTGTTCCAATTTCATTAAATATTTGTAAAACAGTATAATATTAATGGCTTAAACTTCCCGTGAGATTTTATAACCAAGGCAGGGACTTACATATCTATTTGCATCAAAAAATAAGAGTCTATTTGGAAGAAGAATTTGGTAAATTGACAAGAACTGGTCTATAATTTAAAACTGAAGAAATTGACTGATGCAGTGTTGAAACTGCACTATTAAATTTTTTCCACTCGGATTAAATTTTTAATATTCGGTTTTTAATTGTTACTAATTACACATTAATAACTGTAACATGTACGAAGGAAGCTAGATCACAAGAGAATAATTATATTATCAGCGTAATACGTAGGCAAAAAACAACCCTGCTCACTCACTCGGCCAGTGCTGCAATTATTGAACTTGTAAATAATTTCCTTCTTTTTTTAACCCGAGTCTCTAGAACACATTTTAGTGATTTACTTCAATTCACAGCCATTTTTACTAAATGGTCTCTGCTTCTCACTTAATTTATAATTTCTCCCATCATAACATCTAGTCTCTGCTACATTCAAAATGTCATTCCCTGGAAATATTTGGTACAAGAAATGGGTTTCTAAAATATTTATTTTTGATACAAAATTGTTACAATATTAAGTCGCTCGCTTGTGTTCACGAGCAAATATTATTTTTACAAAATAAAATTCTCTTAACAATTATAATAACTGTGACCTATAAAAGAGATTATTAGCACTAATACATCACTACGTTTCAAACATACTGAAATAAACGTGATTACAAATAAATATGCAACACTTGTATCAGTAGCATTTAACATAATCAGATCAAGATTTTCTTCCAGCTCATTTAATTAATTATTGGTAAAAATATGTAAATTTATAAAAATTGTCAGTAGTTCGAGCTGACCTAAAAATAGTACAATGAGGTTTCCTCGGGCTATCAGCCGTATGAAAATGGCGTTGTAATATCTGACCTAAAAATAGTACAATGAGGTTTTCTCGGGCTATCAACAGTATGAAAATGGCGTTGTAATACGTTTTGAACAGCCTCGGACAAGTTTCATGATAACATCTATCTTATACATCTGATCGCCCGAGATTTCATTGCGTTCAATTGCCATGAATGATGGCTAATAGCATTTACTTTAAAAGTTTTATTACCACAATAGAATTAATAGTAAATCCTTAAGACACATTGGTGATGGATTTTGCTACTGACATGATGCTTATATCATACGAAAATACATTAAATGTACTTTTACAGTAAACAACATTTTTATTTAATTATTTCGAATATTTATATACAAATATTAACAAAACTTTATATGAGAACGATCACTAATACACTTGAGAACTGGCCAACACATTTGAAGCTTTTAATTATTGATTCGGTACTCAATTGTGTTTTTAGAGCTATTTTATAATCTAGTTATTGAATAACTATCTTCATGAAATGTACATTGGGCTTACGTGTCAATTACCTCTGACATATGAGTCTCTTGTTTTTAATAATTTTGATTGAAGAATTAGTGACGTGTTTCTTGGATTAGCCAAAATATGAAAACTATTTTAAGACGTGATTTACAAAATATGAGATTCGTATGTATAATAAAAACCATATAAGTTAAATGAAAGCTCAACAAGAAGAGTAAAAAATATGTATAAAAAAGGTCAGCATTCTTAAGGGTCCTAAATATATGATAGTTACAGGATTCAGATCCTGTATATTATGTACTGCATATTTTGAAATATTAGTCTCATAAAGAAATATTTAAGTATTGCTTGTACTAGCCATTACGTCAAAAATCTTCGAGACAAATTACACGAAATATTGGATTTATATAGTACAAACCACGTAAGTTGTATTCAAAATGTCAACAATCTTAAGGATATTAAATATATGATGCGTTACGAGATTCAAATCGTGTATATTATGTATTCTGTATTTTGAAATATTGCATATTCGATGCAATTAATCAAAAGTATTTTCATTTATACTATCCGTAGCCCTATAAAAAGCCATTTATGATTTTCTTTTGGAAATATTTGAAAATTTAGATAGATTTATTTGTGATTAAGTGGACCAATTCTAGAAAATGTATATTCTCTCAAATCCGATTAATATATATAGAAATACATAAACAATTTTTAAACGTAAATTGAAAGAAAGCGATTATGAGCTCTGATGTAATATTCATCAAAATCACAAGTTATAAGGTGAAATACGAGAAATTCGATTGTTTAATTTTAATGTTGACACTATAGTAATTGAGTGTTAACTCAAAATTTCAACGTAATTTTTATCACAAATCAACATTAGAATTTTTTTCATAATATGATTTGACTCGATGTGTTTTAATTGTGGAAAGTATCAAAATTTTCATTGCATTCTGATTTGACATTGTTACATCCAATGTACGACGTTTTAAATGAATAATGAAAGCTGTTTGAATCATTACACAGCTATGAGATTCATGTATCTTATTTTCAGAATGTAGGAATTAATGTTTAAAAAAAAACTTGACCAAATTTTGGGACGCTTCCATTATATCCCACTTTATTGTTGTTCAAAACACGACTCTTTTGTTTGTCCAGTGTAATATTTAAAATTCAATTCTATTTTGTTTTGACTTGTCATCCGCAGTACGCGCTCCACACGCTGCACATCATCACACTTATGTTCACTTTCAGCAGGCCCGTGTTCTGTTTATGTTGAAAGCAAAACGAAGACCCACTAGAGGGATATTAAAACCCTTTGCCTTAGACTTACTTCTTCTCTTTCTTTCTTTATTTCAAGTCTAATTGCTCTCTTCCCTACTTTCCTTTCTGTGTGGAATGTGATGGTGACGTCAGAGCAATGGCGGCGGTCTGTTTTATGTACAGACCCGATCCCGAACGACATACAGTCTTAGCAAAAACAAAACAACAACAGCCCTATCACTGGATCTATAGTTTGTATAAGAGCTCCATTACTGACTTTCGAAATAAGTAATGTCTAGTTGCATCCTAAAACTGAGTTAAATAGCTTGTTAACTAATATTTAGCGCAGTCTATTCCAGTTAGAATGATAATTATCGTGTCGTATTAAAGCAAAATCTGTTAGTTTGATTTATTTTGATGGTTATTTTATCGCTGTGGGTTTAAAACTTCAGGGGACTCTCCCATTAAACAGTTTCTTGTGAAATCACGAGGTAAAGTTTTAACCTAAGTTTAAAGGTGTTCGCCTTATTTTAACTTGTTCAGATTGTTTCCGTGTAATATTGTGTCATTGCTGTGAAATTTCCATTGAATATTTTGTATCAGACTGTCATATTTATTTTCATCACTTGCTACCATAATGTTATTATTTATTATTTAACATATAGATCCAGTTCTTTGTATTAGCATTTGATATGTAGATAGATTGTAAGAATGGTTTATACATCGCTGATATTTTAATGAATGTCCTTAAATGGCGTAAAATTTAAACCCGAACTAGCTGGCTGACCGGCTAGTTGGTTACAGCTGGCTAACAATCCGGTTTACAGTGCTTCGATATGTGTAGTATGACTGAACCACAGAAGTAAGACAATTGTTTTTTTGTTTTTAGACTGGCTAACAATCCGGTTTACAGTGCTTTGATATGTGTAGTATGACTGGACCACAGAAGTAAGACAATTGTTTTTTGTTTTTCGCTTTTCAAACTGTTCACTGAGCTAATACAGTTAACATAAACGCTCTGCCCCTGACACGAAACAAATCCCTAAGAAAATTTAAGTTATTTTAATGTAACACATTATTAGAATTTTAGGACTTAGGCCGACCGTGGACAGGAAAGTGATTCCCGTGTAATGCTGAATATATCTCGTCAGTTTGTAAGCGCTGTCCGGTGTTAAGACACAGAGCCCTTCGTACTGCGACATTGTACCGAAAGAACGGGATGGCAGTTGTTGCATTAAGAGCCCTGACATTTTCTGTGGATTTCTAGAAGCTATGAAATACATATAACTTTCGTCGTCTGCCCGTAACTAATTTGGAATCCAGCATACGTGTTATCGTCATCATCAGAACAAATAAGTGTACTTGAAAATAAATTTTATTTGGTGTTTGTTGAGTTGGTTTATTTATATCACCTGAACTGACTTACGGTAAATATGAAAAAATCAGTATAAGTCAAAGCTGTTTGTTATCTTTTTAACTGCAGCTAATGCTTTTTAAAGAAAAGAGAACATATTACAGACACTTGAATTTTTTGTTTTTTCAAGTGGTACACGTCCTTTCTACTTGTGAAGTCTTATGACGCAATATGTGTACTTAACACATACACTTTAGACCACCCCGGTAGTGCACGCCATCTTGTTTCAGGCACACGTTAACATGGCGCAAGTTGTACAGGCTTGGAAGTAAGTTTATAAATATTCGTACATATTCATATAATAAGCCCAAACAATTTTTGATCTGAAATAAGTTTATTTAAATATGAAATATCAAATTAATTTTGAATACCGTTACTGTTGTAAACAAAATTCCTATGTACATTAACACCTCGTTTTGTGAAAGGGACATATTTATATATAAAAAAAATTCCAATGAACGTAGAGCGAGTACGGATTAGAGATTCTGTGATATTAGATAATGCATATATAAAATAAACCCGAAGAATGTACATTGCACGTTTGTATTTATTATAAAAGCTAAATAACTTTTACTCGGATACCAACTCCTTAGCCAAGTGCTGTCGAGCACCTTATGGGGCGGAGACCCTTGGATAAGGGTAGTGCAATGTTGGAATGATAATTAGCATGGAAAAAAAATAAAAAAAAAAAACTCGGAGTATAATATGCTCCAGTGCTACTTTGTCCACGCGGAATCGAAACAGGTTGTCCGCACTGAAGTCAGAGTCTAGCATCTAGTGTCTAGAGTCTAACTGCCTGAGCTATGGCAGCACCTTGCCTGTTTAGAGTTAACTGTAATAAATTTTAAATAAACAATACTAATTAAAACAATTAAGACGAAATACAAAATTGAATAGTAAGGGCTTCATGCGTAGCCTACCGAAAAGAGGCATTAATGTTTTAAATTTAATTAAAGGAATAATTCTGTTTGTTTTGGGAGGTCACCTTGCTCAGTTAAGTGACTAATTAACATTAATTGTTACTTATTTTGTTTTCTCTGCTTGTTGCGTACTAACTTGAGGCGGTACTAACCATCTCTGTGGCCATGACAAGTGTAATGACTTACATACCAACAAATATTCCGGCTAGTAAAATTACGAAAAACAAAACAAAACTTTCATGGAATATGTGTATCTATCAAAGTAGTAAGAACACAGGTTAGCCCTCTCATTTCGTTCCCAAGTTGTTTGACGCTGCTATATCAGGTGACGATATCTTCTTAGTCAAATACATTTTGCTGTCTGGTTGATCTAACCAAGCCGCCCAGCAAAAGTTCTTGTAATTTTTCATGTTGAATCTGATAGTAGGCCCGTATTTTAAAAATACTTTAAAAAGTTGTGACACTGCCCATTGCCTGAAATGTGTTTAGTATACATTTTGTTGGTCCAGAAGGGAAGTTCAAAATTAGTGTTTTGAGGGTTCGATCCAGATC